TCAATAAAGAGGGGTGTGAAAAGCAGTGGGCTTAGGTCCATTACATGAATTGGAGGGGGTTCGATTGGTTAGGTGTGTGAGGGAGTGTGCTAGCTATCATACAGACTCGGTCTCTAGCCGTCTGATCAAGATCGCATGGATACAATTGAAGGTACATAGTAGTTATTGTACGTGAGCGCACATTGGATCAACGGGCTGTATTATTTGTTATTTACATTTTTTTAAAACCCATTTTCTGATTTTTGCACTACCGTTCATCCCTTTCTCTCCCTCGCGATGCAAAACACTGACCCTTCATTTTCTTCTTTACAACCCTAGCACCTACCACACCGGCGGTGTCCCCTTGCTTCCTCTGTACCCGTAACCCTCACCTAAGCGCTAACCAACCCACAAAACCCTCAATCGTAATCAAAACAAAATGAAAAAAAAATTGAGTTTGATTTTACCCCTTTCGTGTGGCTTCTGATTCTAATGCTAACCCTTCTCCCTTTCCCTGTTTGCAATGCTCCAGCAAAGCTTTAAGGATGGTGATGACCTGAGTGATGGCGGAGGTGGCTGATGCGTGCGATTAGGGTTTCCGATCTGGAAAATCTAATCGCCTCTTCCTCTAGATCTTCCATGCAAGGGTTCGTTCGATAATCGTCTAAGCATCTATTTTCGGTAAAGACTTTCTTCGTTTTGTTCTTGTTCTTCCCAAAAAAATCCGCCATTACATCTGTACTATTTTTCTGTATTTATAAGTTAGTATTTTGGTTTTTACGGATGTAATTTGGGCTTGCCTTAGATTTATGAATTAGAAAATAACTAGGGCTTGAAATCTCATTGTAATTGATTACGCTGTATTTTTGGATTCATTCTGTAATTTTAGGATTTGAGATTTCCAGATTTTCTGCTAAACAAATATCCTGAGATTTGATTCGTATATTGAATGTAATAAACAATGATTCTGTGTTACAAGACTTATTTTGGCAATAAGTGATTTGATTTAGCTTTGGATTTAATTTGGTTTCTTTTACCGTAGATGTTGAAGAACAAGTGCATAATTTGGAATGATTCGTACAATATCTGTTCGCGCATGATTTTTTGTTAATTGCTACAGTTGTCGTTACTGCACTTTTGGGCCTGTGTTACCTTTTAGTTACTTAGCCCAATCAGCCCTTAATTATTTTGTTACAGCAAAAAACTTTTTTATAAAACCAGGCCCAATACTTGGCCACTCAAAACAGACTCCAATAAGTTTTTTTTTTATTTTTTAAAACTCACTATATAATAAAAAAAATATTTCAATAATAACATTTTATTATAACAGTAAATAAAACGTTAATTGGCTTTAACACAATGATCCAACCAATTTCTCTTTTTTTTTATTTATAAATAAAACCCTTCATAAAAAATGTTTAATAACCAAGTATTTATAGAATTTTATAAAATATTTTTTTCATTTCAGTAAATTCACTATAATAATAATAGGAAAATACTTTTTTCATCAATCCTTTAAAATAAAATAGCAAAACAAAGACAAATGGGCTTAGTTAAAACGTAATGAGCCCGTATTCCAAATTGCACCTCCCTTTTTACTGTTCATTAACTAAAAATGAAATTGACTTTTAATTTTGGAGTAACACCCCCTTCTTACTAATCAACTACCATTCTTAAATGGACTGACGTAATTAAAAACTTAATAATTATTCGAAATAATTTTCTATTTTTTTAATCGTATGAGTCATTGGCCAACATGCTTCACGAATGGGTTTATGAGTCTTTCTGATTTAGAAATCCCCATCCTCATGAATTTAAGGTACACCCCCTAGTTGGATAAAGACGAACCATCAGATACTGTTGTACCGTCTTTAGTTAAATATTTCTTTGATTTTAATCTCAAAAAAATAAAATCGTCATGATAGGACAAATTTGGGTTACGACAACTTGTTAGTGTGAGTTGATAGGTTGTCTTTGCTCATTATTTACCTTGGTTAGGGTATAATAGAACCTAATGCATGTTTAGGTTGGATATGATGATTTGATGATTGATTGAATCCATACTTGATTTCTTAGATACCTTACTTGGTGAAATATGGTAACCTTCAGAGTTAGATATGTGTTCTCTTTAGCATGCTTTGATACTTTCCTTAGGGATTTGTGTACTTTAATTTGAAGTCACTCCTTGCATAATACCTTGATAACATGTTGATGTTACTTTGTTGGGTTACTTGATAAGTGTGAAGATGTTGTATGATGGCATTTTTATCACATGCCAACTTGATATTTGTTTAGGTACTCTTTTGAGTTTCTTTGATGCATGGTTAGGTATTATCTCGATGATATGTTTTGATCATTTATCTTATTTATGCTTTGGTGTTTACCTAAGTCTTTAGACTTGATACTTTGTGACCTACTTTCTTGTTTAAGCATACTTTGTTTGTCTTTAATATTTTTAGACTTAGGATGTGGTTACTTGAAGCCTTGCTTGTTTAAGCATACTTTGTTTTTCTTGAGTCTTTTTAGACTTGGGATGTGGTTATTTGAAGCCTTGCTTGTGTAAGTTTGATTTTGTCTTGAGTCTTAATAGACTTAGGATGAGATTTCTTTGAAGTCTTACTTGTTTAAGTGTGACTTTGTCTTTAGTATTGTTCAAGCACATGAGATAATACTTTTTGTTATTACCTGTGCACATTAGGTTGTTATGTGTTTGCTATGTATGATACCATGTTCCCTTAGGATCTTCTAATTCAAACTTGTTTAAGATTTGAATTGAGGTAGTATTTAGGATTTATATCCAAGCATGATAACATAGTTATGATTTTCCTTTTATCCTCAATCTTAAGTCCATGATGCATGGCAACATTAGGATTAGCTTCCCTTAGTCATTTTCTTCTTTTTGCATTGCATGTTCTTGTAAGACTAAAATTAATTTTATTCTTCAAGCTCAAAAACACTTAAAAAATAAAGATATGAATCATATGACAATTAGCCTTAAGTGATGGGAGAAGAATGAGGTGGTACATTCCTAACCTTGTTCTTTCTTTCATCCACAGTCTTTAGTATGATTCATTTCACAAATAAGTGGAGAAATAGTATGTGCCCTTGCATTGAGAGTCATTAGCTATGATCCCAACAAAATACTCAACAAATTCAAATCTCTTTTTCCTTAGGGCTTTTTATTTTGAGAATCTTTCAAAGAGAACATGTTAATTTCTTTCTACACAATACAACCATGCATGAGTCCCCAAAGGTCGAGCAGCAGTAGAATGCGAAACTTAACATCGTTCACTAAAAAAACATGCAACAAACCAAAAAATTTTAGAAGAACTATGGTGCTCTGATTCCTCCGAAATACGTAGGTATTGGGTTACAAAACCTAAGCTAGTACAATAATAAAAATATTTTGTCTCGTTTCTTTCCTTAAGAAATTTTCCCATGCATTTCCTTAGCAAGTAACTTTAGATATAATACACCCTTTGATTAGAATAATTAGAGTGGATCCCATTAAGTACAACGAACATGAGGGGTGCTAATATCTTTTTCTTGCGTAATCGACTTTCGTACCCTTCTCTTGGTTGCAAGACCATGCTCTTTCCATTTCTTAGGTTTTCTCGATGCTTTCCTTTTCCTTCTTTAGGATAAATAACGTTCTATGGCGACTTTGTTTGCATCGGTATTTTTGGCAGTAGCGACAACATGGTAGTAGTGTAATACTCGTTTTCAAATAAGAGTGTTATAAATTAAACATGGCTAACTCTTTTCTCTTTATGAGTAATATTTATACATTATTCTTTGTCATTAAAAAATTATATACATATTTTGAGTCATGTATGTATATACCTACCTGTTTTAGCTCTTATTTGAGTTCAAGCCTAACACATTGGGGACAAGAGGACCAAATCCAAGAGTATCAATGTCATCAAGGCTGCTTCCTTCATTGTACAACTTGGCATTACTTATTGTACATATGTGGTGTAGTTTGGAAAGATTTTCCAGAAGACTAAAAGATTCAAATATTTCTAGTATAAAATACAATCACCAAGTCTCCTATGAAATTATATTTAAAAATAAATTAATTTAAATTTTTTCAAAACTAATTAATAATACTAAAAATCAATATTGTTAATGTTTAATCAAAATTAATAAATTTGTCTTCATATGTAGAATGTAAAAGCATTTTAAAAATTAATAAAGCTATATTTTACCATCTCAAAATGTATTCCTAAAAATATAATGTCATCTTATGCCAGCTAAAAATCGAGATCATTTATCTCGTGACTATATACTGACAAAGTCATAATCATTTCTATATTATATACGATAAGATTCACTGGAGAACTTCACCACCTATAGTTCCACACATCAAGCCTACTATCATATATTGTTCTTCCACAAGATAAAATTGTGTCATAATTAAAAAAACATAAGTAATTTCTAGAATAGCATTGAGATTTCAAATTCATGCATTCTCAATAGAGAAAACAAAAAACAAATCAAATATTTTGTAAATAAAAAATGCTACCATCCAAAGTTCAATTACCTAATATACAAGAAGATTAATGTTTGAACCAGCTGCAAGCGCAACCACTCTAAACTTATCTGGATTCTCTGCAATGATATCTAGTGTCTACAAAAGCATAAAAATTAATGAAGTACTAAAAACAAATTATTCCCAATATAATAGGGTCTAGACCCTAGAGAGGAGTACCCGAGTTCCAATTGAACTGGTAGATCCGACAATGGAAATTGGTTTTTGTTCTTGCGAAGTCCTATAACCTAGCATATCAAATAAAATAATGAAGTTATGCATTACACAATAAAATTAATAACACCAAAAAAATCATAACAAAAAACAGCTTCGAAATTTATTATCTAGGGTTATGAACAACAAACTCTAGCTATTATAAACAAACAAAAACAATAATAACAAAAATTTAGTTGAAGTGAAGAAAATTTGGGCAAATAAAACACGAAAAGTGTGTGAAAGGGGATGAATCTGTGAGATATTAGAGAGAGGTACCAGGTTGAGTTGAAGGACGTTGGTGTAATTTCAAGCTTTGTTATGAGCTTGAACAACGACGTTTTGGCTGTACGTAAGAGTACATTGTTGAGTTTCTTGGTATGATAAGGGAGGGAGGAAATCACCATAATGAAGGGGAGAAAGAGGGGAAAGCATATTTTCTGCAAACAAGATTTGAAATGATGGAGGGAAGGATGGAGGCGTCTGAAGATGGAAAAATTGGAGGAAGGAAACGATGAGAGAGATGGAAGCTCTGTCGGAGGAGAGATGGTGGGTGACAATTTTATTAAATGATAGGTTGGAGGCATGTATGCACATATCCGAAATTCATTTACCTAGGTAAAAGAGTGTTCTTTTGGATATTTACTTTTTTGAAATTTCAATATAAATGCCATGCCATCTGGATGCATTGAACAATTTCATTGGTAAAGTAAAATACATTTAGTCAATTACCTCAATGGGCATCATTTAGTGTAAATTAAATTTGGAAGAAAAGGTATATTAGGGAGATCATTAGCATCCTCTAAGCTTAGGTTGATAGTTGATATTTGCTGCACAAATAATTTTGAGATGCGCTTAAATTCAATGAAGTCGCCACCAAAATTTAGTTTAAAAAAAAGGAAAAATATTAATAAAATCTTTAAAGAAAAAAATATGATCATTACAACAAAATTTATGTTCAAAAGTCGATTATGCATAGAAAAAGTGTTATCACTCTGCAACATCCGTTTAAAAAATGGTTACTTTTAGTTAATTTTGCAAAATGATAGTTTTAACCTTATTTTATCAATTTTTTCTTCTAATCACCAGATAAGAAGTAAATAGTATTTACAAGCAAAGAAAAAAGGGTTTTTTATTAGGGTGCTTGAAAAGACTTGACTCTTACTCCTATGTATGTCCTAGTGCAATAGAGAATTTAAAGCCACATAGTTCTTACTAGAAAAATCTTGTGTGTTGATTGATTTTAAAGAAAAATATTTTGACCGCGTTCGAGCGTAAAAATGTTGCTTGTTAGTCACGTTAGTATGGATGAAAGTGTTGTTTCTTGATTGTGTTATAGTGGATAAAATATTGTTTGTTGGTTGATTGTGATTATCCAACCAAGAAAAGAAAGAGATGTTAGTGAAAAAGGTACTAGTAAAATGTTACATGTTTTGATGAGACATAGTGGTAGTTCTCATAAGTCAGAAGTCTCCAACTCTGATGAGAAGAAGTATCGTAAAGGAAAAGAGAAGTTTGACAAGAAGAATGTTTAATGTTATTGTTGTAAGCAATATGGCCACTTTGCTAAGAAATGTTGGTCAAACAAGGGAAGGAAGTCAGAAGAATAAAATATATAGTCAGGAGAAGCTCTAATGATGAACCTGTGCTATTAACGGCTTATGAGTCTGATGGAAGATGTTTGGTAGACTGGTGGTATATAGAGACCGGCTGCTCAAATAATTTGACTGAAAACAAATAATGGTCGATTGATTTTGAATCCAAAAGGAGGACAAAGATCAGATGTGTTGATGATACATACTTTAATGTTGAAGGTATGGGAAATGTCAAAGTTAGAGTGAAGAATGGAAGAACCGTTTTGATCAAATATATTTGGTATGTTCCTAAGATGAAGAGAAATCTGATAAGTGTAGGCCATTTCATTGATAAAGGTTTCTTAGTTACTATAAAGAATAATCTCTTGAAGTTGTATGATTCTATTTAGAAGATGGTTATGTAATCAGAGCAGGAAAGCAACCGAACATTCATAGTGCATGTGGAGATAGTTAAAACTAAATGCCTTTGTGCATAAGATGCTAATTGTGATAGTGAGTTGTGGCACAAGAGATTGGGGCATTTGAACTTCAGAAGCTTAGGACATCTTACATTTAAGAAGCTAGTACATGGCATTATGAAGATTGTGAAGCCTCGGAAGGCATGTGAGATATGCATGAAAGGAAATATGTAAGTATTTGAGTGCGCCTAAGAGGGGGATGAATTAGGACTTTAAAATTTTATCCAGTTTTTAGAGTACTTGTTCATATTTTTCTAGTTTGGTGCAAGAGTTTATAAATGTGTTTCTTTCTTTCCTGGTTTATGATTTGTGATGAAAGCTGTAATGAGGAAAAGTAAAGAACATAAGGATGTATCCTGGTTCCCCTCACAGTCCGAGAGTACCTCAGTCTCCTTTCAACATGAAAGGGATTTCATTATTGTTAGATCTCTAGGCAAGACACCCTAGTTTTTCTATACAAGACTCTAACCAATAAAACCACCAAGAACAATCCTCTTGGATTTTCACTAAGTACATTAAGAGAACAATCCTCCTGGAAAACAATATACAACCAAACAAATAGAATAAGAAAACAATCATTTCCTTTCTACTCTCTTGTTTCCAACAATCCTGGAGAACAAGCAATTACAAAATAATTCTGGAAAATATTAAGTTGATGAATATATAATTTGTAGTATATAAATCCTATGAAGGACTTCTTATCTTTCAATATTAAAATTAATAACACAATACTCTCTTAAGTGCTCAAGATAATTTTATGAATATGATATGAAAGCGTTATTCAAAAGTATAATTGTATGAAAATTTTGGTTAAAAAATATGCAGAGAATTTTTTTGATTTTGAAAGAGTTTGCAATAAAATGAAATTTGAAACAAAATTTATAGAGTGAAAACAAATCTTAATAAATCATGGCAATGGTTGGTTTAAATTATGTTGAAAAGTCATAAATTTAAAATGAGAAGATGCCATGAAAAAGTTTGGTGAAAAGGTGTTTTATGTTTCAGTACTTGGTTTCAGTACTTGGTTTTGCATTTTGGAACTGGCAGTGGCATTTACAAAGACCATTCAATCGATTGTAAGGAAATTGCATCATAATGCATGTTGAGAAAGTTTGAAATCATTTTTAATTAAAATGACACAAACAAGACTTGAACCCAAGACCTTCTAGTTTCTTAACACATGCCTTTCAACCAATTAATCTAATTCATCATTCATTAAAAGTATGCATAAAATATATATAATAATAAAAACAAATATTTTCTAAGTCCACACTCTACATAGACCATTAACCAAACTATAAACCATCACTTGTAAAAACATTTGAAAATAATTTTACCTAGATTTAAATATAAAATAACATTTTTTAATGCATGATTAAAAATATTTTTAGCAATAAGATTGTATATGTTAATAATTTCATATATCTTGAAACTTGATCACTTGAACAAAATCATGCATGTTTTTCCTTCTTCTTTGATATATTTACACGGTCTTGATAAATTTAAAGTTGTCTTCATAAAAACATAATGTTGGAGAAGCTTGACTTCACAATCTTCCCATTTTAGATGATAACAACCATTGAAAGTTTAAATTCTTGGATAATTTTGAATAAATGAGAATCTCTTATGTGAATGCTCCCTCTATCTTTGATAACTCCTCATTGATCAAAGCTATCCTTTGATTTGTAGTGAATTTTACATCTTTCTTTAGGCTGCAATAGTTAGAGACAAACATACACATACACATATATATCTTCTCCCCCTTTGTCATTAACAAAAAGGATGGGAAAAGACTAGAAGAATATAAAGAAATTATGAAAGTAAGAACAATTTTTACCTATGAGTTTTACCTCACGGATGACTTCATCAAACATTCATCCTTGATGAATTTGAAGCCTTTGTCACAAAGTTGGATTTTTCTTAGAATATTTTGCTTTAGTCCTTCAACATAAAGTATATCTTCAATGGATGTTGTAATACGGTGGGAGAACTGACTTTTAGGTTTTGCATTTTATCACAAATGATACGGATAGCAAGAGCCTCCACCGACTTTTCTTTTATCAAATAAAGGAAAGGGTGAAAAGAACCGGAAAAAACCTTTTGAGAATTTTCTGAGTTCGGGGGGTAGGTTATGAAAAGGGAAAGTGTTAGCACCCTTTTCATCTGTAAGTATCTATGGGCTCTTAATCGTAGCTCACTTTTTGGAAATGCTTTGTGCTTGTGTATGTTTGAAAATATTTTGAAAATGCCTAAGTGTGACAATTTTGCAATGATTATCGTATCATTGAGAATGTATGCAAAATGTTTGTTTTGAAAATATTTGTGAAAGAAAGTGTGGTTTTCTGGAAAGATGTTTTGTTTTGAAAAGTTTGTGAGCAAGCGACTACGAGCGTTCTACCTACTCAAAGAAGTATTTGTTCTTTTCCTCCTCCTTTAGATAGTGCTACCCTACAATTAGTTAGTAGAAATCCTTATCATTGTATGTGAGGGACAAGTGTGGATCATCGTACAGTCATAGAAGCAGACTCGTAGGATGCTTTAGCAATTTTTGTAAGGGACTAAGATCGTTTACTGAAGGCAACATTGAAGGGTTATCGAGGGACTATGATCTTTTAACCGAGGGTCTTTACTAAAGCATCCCACGTTTGAGGGACATGACTGTTTAAATCCGAGGCAACAAGTGAGGTTAACCCTTGTCTTGAGATTATGTTTTCTAATATTTGTTTTTTACATCTTTCCATACACGCCTAATTAAGCTAGTAGTTAAATATATATATATATATATATATATATATATATATATATATATATATATATATATATATATATATATATATATATATATATATATATATATATATATATATATATATATATATATATATATATATATATATATATATATAAGTGCGGAAAAAATGCGGGAAATAAATCTATGCTATTATATCGCTTCGGGGATTGGGATTACAATCTATAAATTGGGGAGGAAAAGCAATAAACCCTAATTATCTATTACAAACCATTGACAAATATTGAATAATAATGCAAAAAAGTAAATGAGCACGCGGAGATGGTGAAGAGGAGAAGATATTTAAGACCTAAAAAATTCTAAGTGTTTAGAAAATATTTTTGTTGTTTTTTTGTTTAGAAAAAAATTTTGAAGTGTGAAATAACAAGTAAACCCTAATTCTAATTAATTTATTAGTTAGTTAATAAATACAAGCAAAATATGATTAAGTTAAATTAATTTTAATTATAAAAAATTAAATTAATTAATTAATTAAAAAAAAACTTAGATCTAATTTTTTTTATGATTTTATGATTTTTTTTTATTTTATAAAAAATGATTAAAAAGAAATAATTTATTAAAACAAAAAGAAGAAATTAAAAGGGCCCGATGTTGCAAAAGGAAAACCGGGGGTATGAAAAAGTAAAACATCTAGGCCCAAATTCAAAAGCCGAGATGCCTGTGAGATTCAGTGTGTACAGCTCAATGGGGTGCACCGTAGGGGAAATCTCCAATAATATCAGATC